GTGTGTATAAAAGGCACCTTCTGGAGTTTTATTACAGTGGGATGATTGAAATGGCAGAGTGAGGGCATGTCTGCGAGAGTGTGCCTGCTCTGACCTTTTGTGAATTTGTGGGTGTATTCATGTGCTTCTGTCTTTGTGAGGACAGAAGCTGGGGGCTTTTGCAAAGAGCGGACACCTCCGGAAACACAGTGAAAATATTTTTGCAAAGGACATGTTTGGAAGGACAGGCTATTTCTGTAGCATGGAAGGAGCAGCTTTATGTTTGCAGCTCATTTCATCTGAATAATATTTAGAGTCCTACAGAGCGGAGACACACAAAGTTTTGTGTTAGTAAATGTGCGTATTTAATTATCTGCTGCCCTGAAAACTCACATAGATCCAGTGAAGGGCCACACAATGGACAGTTTACCCAAAACATGAAAAAGTGCTGTGCTGCAACACACAGGAAATCTTTGGTCCGTATGGATGTGTCACAATCTGTCACTACCTGTGCCACCCGAATGGATTGCAGGTACAGCGTAATGCTACCAGCAGTGACACTGGCAAAAAGCAGATCTAAAATCCTGTTACTGTCATTTGCACTGAAGCAGGTGAAATAGATAAACAGTGGTTTATGTTTCCTAAATGGAAACAGTAACAATTCTGAAGTAAAACCTCAAATTCGGAGCCAGCCTCTAGTGGACATCAGAGGAACTACATTTTAGCGCTTCTCTATTCTTTAGCTGAGGAGTTGCCACTTGGGCAAACAAAAGTGCAGCACACTATGTTGTCTCTAGAAATGTATTAACCCGTCGCCACTATCAAGGATTGTAAGATGGTCCATGAGGAGGGGCTTATTCCACACGTTTGCCTTGGATGCACTTTGACATCCTTGCGAGTGTTTTGTTTTCACAGCTAGACCAGAAACCATCACACAAAGGTTCCTACAACTACAGAAGGACGAATGTGTGTGCAGTGGTAATGTCAGCTTTATGGTTATGAGCAAGCCTCAGGGTGAATCGACTCCTCTGCTTGTCAGTTTCCCCCCCTCAGCTCCACCACCTGTCATTACTAATAGCCCATATGATTAAACTGAATGACAGCGTGTAGGTATTGACATCCCCGATCGCAAACACACACTTCCCAGCCTTGGGTTTATTATCTTTCCATCACCTGGGGACATTTGGCTCGACAGCCACGCGTGCTCTGCAGCTCAGTAGATGCTTCGTGGCATTATCTCTGCTGTCGTTTCGGTTTCATTCCCACTGGAGCTGCTGTGTTATTAAATAATGTATGAGTTGCTATAAACTGTGTGGACAAGCTCAGCCTTCAAATGGCACGTGTCAAAGTTGGCCTTATTAGCCTCTCTTGTGGTGATTAGTTGCTCCCTCATGCACCTCAGACAGCAGGCGGTAACTGTGCATACTAGAGTAACTTATCTGATTCAGCCTGCCATCGCTGTTGGAAGCGGCTGAATCAATAAAGTAAAACCCAGCAGAACCTTTAAATGGTTCCTAACAACATTTTGAGCTTTCAAAACTTTGTTCAATGAGAATGACTTCAAGTGGAACCTACAGTGAAGTCTGTGCATGTCTCTAGCACAGCTTTTTGCAACCTGATATAAAGAAGAACAATTTACTCCAAAGTCTGAAGGCGTATTTTAATAGCTGGGTGTCTAAGTTTAGTGTTTTTGTGCTTTCTTTGAGCTTTAAACACTTATTTAATATGTTTAAGTTTGTGTTCCTGAGCTCCAGCGTCTCCCTGTCTGTGCTCCGTCTCGTTCATGTGCTTCTGTCTCCTGTGCTTCACTGTCTGCGATCATGCTCGAGCTCGTCTCCAGAGTCAATTATCTTCTGTTTGTTTCCTGCTTCATTTTAAAGGTCAAGGATGCCTTTGAGTAGTCACTTTTTCTTAGAAAGGTTTTTAACTGAGTGAAGCGAAGTAAGCGCGTGGCAGCCATAATAAGAGCTGGTCGAATTGTCTAAATACTGAGAAAAGATGATTCAACTCACCTTCATTATCTCCTTTGGCAGGAGAAGATCCCATAATCGACAGTGATGCACCATTCGACCATCATTTAAAGCAATCAATACACAAAACTGACAAAAAGCGCTGATCATATAATTATGTTAATTATGTGTGTTTTTCCGTTTCCATAATCTGTTGATATATTTAGAATTTTCAGGCTGTTAAACTCACAGCTGAACTCTGAACATCACACTGCTGTAATAAACTCTGCTTCATGTCGAGTTGTGTGAAGAATTACTGTAAGCGCTCTAATTCCAGATTATGAGGGTATTATGGTAATTAATCAAAGTACATTTGAGGTTTGCTATAGTTCAGTTTGTATTGGTCATGTCTGTTGTATTGCCAGACACGAGCATTATCATTAATTAAGTTTTACTTTGGATCAGCTGGGATGAGCGATACATGCAGGGGATTTTGTTTTAGTTGAGTAGAAATCCTGAACAAGGAGGAGCTCAGAAGTTTCACTGGATCAGTCGCCAGCAGGAAAACACAAAGTTAGACACGCTGTACTTTTAACACGTCTTTAAAAATAGTTTTTAATTTCTTTCATTTTTGGGTTTTCCAGATAGTGACAGCCGCTCCCCAGAAGTTCAAGATAGATATCCTGCCAGTTGATGATGGAACGCCGTTAATTTTCACCAACCTGGGACTGCAGTGGCTGGAGTACATGGATAACAAGGTACGATAACGATGCAGGGACACATTTTTATTTTTCCATCTGATCATGAGTAAAATGAATGTGGGGTTTGATTAAAAGAGAACAGATCCATAAAAATGTCGAATGTCAAGGTCAAGCTCATCTTCTCGGGCACGTTCAACTGTCTAATGTAATCTCTTAGAGAGAAGAAATGATTGAACAAAAATGCCACAAACCTGCTATTACGTTACCAGTAAGACTGATGTTTACATCCTCAGCATCAGTGGCAGACTGGTCTGCTTTGTGGCTGGAGATGATGAAGTAAATGACCTCCCTCAGACAATAAGCACACGCAGTTTCACTTGCATTCTATTACATATGCACACCAGAGGAGAGACAACCATATGCATGATGGGCAAAAACAAGGCTTGAGACTACATGTTCATATGATCCATAAAGTTTCAAAAATTAAGTTTAAGGATGTTAAAGATGTAATGTAATGTTTTGACACACTGAAGAGATCCAGTGCACGTGTCAGAGGTGAGAGTAGAGGAAGTCATCGATTCCAGGGAGTAATGTGGGAGAAACCGCAGCCCCGAGGTGTGCAAGAACAAAAGGTCTTTAATTCATTAAACTTTTTACCCCCCCAGCTGTAAAAAGCCGATACGGCACGCAGGCAGTTGGCATGGATGCCCAGATTTGTGAATACGATAACTTGAAGATGAACCAATTTTGGGTTTTCAAATTGATACCATAGATACCTCTAGTACTATACACGCAAAAATCAGTGACCTTGATCTCAAGGTCAAGGTCTGACGCCGAGTCTTGTGACTCGAGACTGCATCACAGTGTGTGGTGTGGAATAACACTCTGTCAGAAATTTAGCTTGACTATCTGAGCGTGGCTGCTGCTGCTGCTACTAACCAGCAAACCGAAATGCAGCATGTAGCGGTGCACTGATTGAGGGGACACTGACCCCTCTGTAAAAAACTGGCACACACCAAAACAAATTTGAACAGCAGAAGCCGCTGATGTGTGCTGTAGCTTCTGACTGAAGTGAGGAGATGGACAGAAATAGCCAAAGATTTAGATTTCAGGTAGTGGGCATTTGCTATTGTACACACTACATGCATAAAACCTGGTGTCCTTCCCATATTTATTAAATCCAGGTCCCACAGTGGTGATAATAAATTCTGCAGAAATCCAAGTTAGTAGGCATTTAGGAAACAAATCTAATTAAACTATTTGTGATGTTTAATAGCCGTAAAGTGAGAACAGCGGACACTGATGAGAACTTTTTCTAATTTATTACCTTTAATTGGACACCAGCAGAGGACGGAAACATCAGGATAATTCAGACGTGTTTAAATGAGCTGCGTGTTTGCTCAGCAGAACTCTCTCTGAGCAAATTATGTTTTAAAAAGTGCCAGCACACCCTGCTCTGCCTGAATATTCTCCAGCAGAGTAAATGTGTCTGTGTGAAGTGCGAAGGAGAAGCTCCATCACTGTTTGTTCTGAAATTAGCCCCTCCACCTCCACCTGCTGGCTTGCACACCTCATCGCAATGCAGCGCACAGGTTTGTTTGGTAGGCACTGTAAATATGTCACATCGTTCATTTATTCTCAGCCTGTGCTGTGTTTGCGCTGCAGGTAATTAAGTCCTGGGTGTTTTATCACTGAGCCAAATTATCATACTGTTACACTCCAGTATCTTCTCCTGAGTGCTGGAGGGGAAAGCAAAACCTGACCATTACCAATTGATCATATAGGCAGGAGACCTTTGGTCAAAGAAAATTATTCCATCTGAACTCATTAATATTTGGAGGTGCAGCTGTGTTCTGGGATATCCTACACTTCCATGTGCAAACATGGATCGCCTGAGGTTGAGAAAGGAGCAAGAAGGTGGTCCCATGATAGTGCAGTCTTTGTTATGGCCTGCAGGGGGAGGCAATTTCAAAACAATTTCTTACTGAGTTTCATTTAATACAACACGATGTCATTTAGGTGAAGCGGGGCATGCATTACAGCATCGTTGCCCTGCCTCTAACTTAGGAGCGTGCAATCAAAATGTGGAAAGTGTTCAGAGTTATAAATATCTCACTTTTGATTCAAAGCTGATTTTCAAAGCAAACTGTGAAGCTGTGTGCAGGAAGGAGCACCAGCAGCTCTCGTGTTTAAGAAGGCTTTCTCGTTTCCACATTGATAAAACCATGAGGGTTTTATTTCTTCGTGCTTTTATTGAATCTGTTTTGTCCTTTTAGTTGTTGTGGTTTGGATAGTTATCTGAAAAGAGCAGAAACTCTGTCATATTGTTAAGTGGTCTAACAGGTTGACTGATGAACCACAGCTGAAGTTCCCTGTCCACCAGACAGTTGCAGCGGTCGGCTGGTTTCATTTTTCTTTACACAGTGAGATTCGTTATTCTTCCTCCCAGACAAAGGCTTCTGGTCCCAAACTGTAAAACGACAAGGTTTAAAAAGTCACTTTTGTGGATTACATGATGGCCAAATTAGTATTTTAAATTTTTGTTGTCAGTATTTTTGCTCTGCTTTTTTGTTTTCTGTTGTTTCTTCAATTCAAGAGAACAAATCTACCTACGGTTAAAAATAAAATAACCTGAACCTGAAAATGTTCAAACCAAGGATTTCCAGAACTGTAGTTCCCAACCCAGCGTCCACGTAGAAGTTACTGGCAAATCTAAAAAGAAGGTTGGTTGCAAAGTAGTTTGCAGAAGAAACGGATTAAAAAAAACACAGCTGAACTTTGTTTGTTGGATACATTGAAACGTATTTGTAATAATCATAAATGAAACATCTTTAAAATATACGAGACACACCAAAAAACTTTTTAAGCCATCACATCACCTTCTGTGGTGATGTTCCAGATGTGCATGCTGGTGGTTTTAAACTTTGGAAAACTTGTAAAGACAACGTAGAGATCAGTCTAAAGTCCTTCATCCAACTAAGAGTCAAATAACAACAGTTTGGATGCTAATCTGTACTTAAGTGGGGAGATCAGTGTGTACAATAGCATTTCCCAATAATTTATCCAAACTCACTGGAACAATTAGCGAGTTTATAACCCACATAAACCAGATGCTGTCCATTAACAGAATAGAAAAGTTTAACTACTTTGCCCTTCAGAGGAGGGGCTCTTCAACATTTTGTTGGCTGAATGTCAATGTCGAGATCAGATACAGAAGCAAACACGTTTTTTAGTTGGTGTTGTGATGTTGGATATGCTGATTTCTGTTTTTTGAGCCAGTAGTGAAGCGACGCTTCTTAACAGCTGTATTTTTGCTATGATAGCTACATCAGGGAAGCTGAAATTGAAAAGAAAAGCTTCCTGCTCAGCTGAATCACAGTGTGACATTGTGAATGAAATCCCCAGTAATGAATTCTTGCACTGTGAGATCATTTCTGTGCGGTGAAAACTGAAAAACAGGAAATTTGAGTCAATCCTGTCTGATGTCTGTCAGGCCACCAATCTGATCACCAAGAGGGAGCTGCTGACCATGGACCCGGACACAGATGATGGACAGCTGGTTTATGAGATCACCACAGAGCCAAAGCACGGCTTCCTGGAGAGCAAGCTGAAACCTGGGAACCCCATTACCACATTCACACAAGGTACCGAAGCTCTCTCTGTTGCCTTTATATTTACAGCAGTAACAGTTTAACTTATTAGACAACCCATCCCTCTTAACTTCTCCTCCTCAGACAGCTTCAATCCTTGTCCAAAAAAAGACTCAGTTCATCAAATTTATCCCGAGAGTCTGTATTTATAGTGGTGACACTTTTGCAACTCTCTGTGGCATGTTGGAACCAATCAGGGCCAAATCCTGATTGGTCCAGAAGCTGATATCCACACGATTCTGCTTATTCACTAAAGTGTTCTCAAAGGTCATCTCATTTTGAGCATTTTGAGCATTGTGGAGCACCAATTCAAGGCAAATGTGATAGCTAAGTCCGTCAGAGATCAGCAAATTAAAATTTTTTTTGAGTCATAGCTGAAACTTTTGGCTTTGACTGCATGAAACTGCATTTTTATCAGCATAGGTACAGAATTAAAAAATTTGCAAGAAGCAGAAGAATTTTCTTTTAACAGTAAATCTTTTTTTTTTACTCCCAGAAATATCAATATAAATTATTTATGGGATTCTCAACATTCCCCACCACACTCAAGAGTGGGACAGTGGACAAAAACAAACTAACAGAAAAGTGAACTGTGTCCACATTCGCCCCCTGGTGTCAGATTTTGTTACTGTTTTCCTTTGAATAAAGACGTTTGTTTGACCATGAGCACAGTTTACCTTGGAAGCAGTGATCTGATTGCTGATCTACCAATAATTTTAATTTAACTGAATTTTATATCAAAGAAAATTTCCATCAGCTCAACACAGGTTGAGCAAAAGAGTGGGTGCAGTTTTGCTTTTCCCCTCCTCCTGTGAGCTTTGATGTTTTTTTTTGCTTTTCCTGCTTTAAATATTCATAAAAAATTAGGATAATTTTCCTTTTTTGTGTCATACTGAATACTAATAAACCATGTACTACATGTGCGTTTTAAAAACTCACATCAATGGGCTGATGGTGTACGATATTAAAAGGAAATGAAGGCTACTTTTTGATATGCAGGATGGTTATCTTATCAGGTTAGTGTGGGATCACCGCAGTCATAGTTGGGATATACTGTGTAAAGCTGCAGTTAGTGCCAGTTTATGTTTCCAAATCAAACCCTTATGACTCTTTAAAATGAAGCCATGGCTTTCTGACTCCCTTCAAGTTCAATCTTTTTTCTCTTCTGAGATAGTTTCATTTGAAGGACTTTTTAATGCCTGAGGATTAGCTATGCCTCAGAGCAGTTGGGACTCACATATTGGAAACCCGCTGCTCCTGGGCTTTCCTTCTAAACTCCCTCAGCGGATGACATAAACCACAAAGACTTCTCTATCAGTGTATAGAGAGCCACCTGTTTCCTTCACTGCACCAGTTCAGTGTTGCATCGGTGCCCTCTTCTGTTCATCCCGCATCCTTCGTGCCGCTGCAGAGAAAACTCGGTGCCTGTTGGAAGGTAGAGGAGGGGAAAACAAAAGACTCCGTCACATTTTGCCTTCACAGTGAGAAGGAGGGACAAAAGCTTGACCCCACATTCTTCGCTCTGATCATTTCTCCGCTGAACGACACCACCTATCTGCTGTATTTCCCGTTGCACACGTTTACTCAGCTAATTTGCAGTTTAAATCAGCAGTGCTCTCATTATGAGCCTGCTTATGTTCACCTCAAGGCTGCAGACGAGGATCAGTGTCAGCCTGCTGTTGTAAAATGTTGATCCTCCAGGCTGCAGAGAGCAAGTATAAACAGCCACTTTGATGTGTCGCATGCTCGATTTGAAGCTTGTAAACATCATTTTCTTAATGATAATAAATTTCCAATAAGTGAAATAACCCTTAGCCTGAGCGCGAGAGATGGAGGCAATATGAATAAATAAAACAGATGAGATTTCTAGTAATCAACATCATCCCGACTGTGAGCATTTGCTCCCATATTCTGCCAAATGCTTGTACGCAATCTAAAAATTATGTTTGAGATATTACTATTCTGGATATTAATGCATAATTTAGTACTGTCTTCATCTCTGTGGTGTTTATGCTGAGCTTCCTGAAGGTCATTTGGCCAATTTTGAAGCAGCTGGGCTCACATCTAAGTTTTTCCTTTTCTACAACCTTCTGTGGAACGTGTAAATGAGCAGAAACCCAGAGCCAATAATAACTTTCACATTCATTTCCAGGCTATTTTATTTCTCCAAGTACTGTGAATTGGCCCAAGGCTGCAAACTATAGAAGTGATATTTTCCAAGAAATGCCTTCTTTGCAAAAGATTTTCACTATTAAGATTCAATCAGTCTTTTTTGGGTGTCCCCCTCCTCACAGTAAATTTGTGTGCAAGCATAAAAATCAGCACTAATTGTCTTTAAAGACCATCGTGTGAATTTGGCTCTCCTGCTGATTTAAAAACCTGCTGCAGTGCTTTGTGACATTTCTGGCATATTTAAAACCTTATTTTCAGCACATTTTGAACCCGTGTGTTCGTTTTTGACTGACTCCCATCAGACCTGATCTGAGTCAGTTCACTTCTTAGTACTGGCATTGTATTAAAATTGAGTCTGAATGGCTAAAATAATTATGTTCATCTCCTTCTGAGGCAGCGTTGAGCTCAACTTTAGGGTGAGGCTCTAAGACATTCAGCGGGATCTCGCCTGGGTATCTTTCCTTTAGAGATTATCAGTGCACACCTAACTGAAAGGAAATTATAAGCAAGACCCAGAAACCAGAGAGCTTATACTTTATGTCTCATCATGCCTGAGATCTCCTTGGGATCCTCTGGAGGATCAGAAAAGCATTGCTGGGTGGAAGAAAACATGGCGCTAACACAGTAATAAATCGAGCCAAACAGCTACTGAAACAAGAAGTGATTGAAACATAAAAAACAAGTGGGAGACATGAATGAACTGATGAAGAAGCATTAATAGAAGCACTAATACTAAAAACCCCAAACAGAGAAATAAATTTAGACTAATGTGGCTTTTTTTCTTTGTAGCCGATATCAATCTGGGTCTGATCCGGTACGTGCTTCATCAAGAGAACGTCCAGGAAACCATGGACAACTTCAAGTTCCTGGTCAAAGACAGCAAACCAAATGTGGTCAGTGACAACGTCTTCCACATCCAGTGGTCCCTCATCAGCTTTGAGCACAAAAGGTCTGCACCATTTCAAAGAAATATACATATTTTATAAAGATTACCCGTTGGACACCCACCCTTTTAACTTCCTACTTCTTCTAATGGCACCACAGCTACAATGTGAGTGAGAAGGCCGGCACAGTGGCGGTGACCGTGAAGCGAACCGGTAATCTCAACCAGTACGCCATCGTGCTCTGCCGCACTGAACAGGGCAGCGCCACCTCCACGAGCAGCGTCGGATCCAGACCTGGACAGCAGGACTACGTGGAATATGCTGGGCAGGTAGAAACTCGATATTCCACGTTTAAAAAATGAACATTTCTCTTTTAATTGATTTTATTTCTCTCCTGTGAGTTTGTGTTCTTCATTTAGTCTGGAAACCAGTAAATGCTGCTAAAATCTTATTTATCTTTGTAACAACAAAATAAGTTTTGACCTTAACATCTTGGGAGTAACGTGAACCTGGAATCTTTTTGCATTTTCATCAGTTTTAAGTGGAGTACAACAGGAACGTAATGTTTGTACTACAAACATCCTATTTCAGAGGAAGAAAATCAGTGGTCCTAATATGGAACCCTGAGGTACTCCTTTGTGTACATGGAGGTTTGAGGAGGAAAAAGATTCAGTAAAGTGGGCACACTTTTGCTTTACTTGACATTCAGTGACGTGTATCATCTATAACTAGCCTATGTTAAGTTAAGGTTTTGTAATCACTTCTTTAATGCCTCCTTCTCGTTGTTTTCCAGGTGCAGTTTGATGAGCGTGAGGACACAAAGGTGTGCACTATAGTCATTAACGACGACAAGGTGTTTGAGGGGATCGAGAGCTTCCATGTGGAGCTCAGCATGCCCGTGTACGCGCTGCTGGGTGGAAACACGCGCGCTGTCGTCAACATCAACGACACAGAAGACGAACCCACTTTGCAGTTTGACAAGAAGATTTACCACGTCAATGAAAGCTCAGGCTTAATCCATGCTCCCATTGAAAGGAAAGGTACACACTGCAGAGGAGTTTCTAACATTTCATGTTCCACGAATTTTCTCATAATTTCTTTCTTTTCATTTTCACTTTAGTTCCTGCACACACTGTGTGACCTTGTTGTCTCTCTTCATTTCTGCTCAGGTGATACCTCCAGCACAGTCTCTGCTCTCTGCTACACCGTAGCCAAGTCAGCACAGGGCAGCAGCCTCCACGCTCTGGAGTCCGGCTCTGACTACAAGAGCCGCGGCATGACCACCGACAACCGAGTGATCTTCGGTCCTGGAGTCAGCATGTCCACCTGTGATGTTAAGCTCATCGATGACAGCGAGTACGAACTGTCCGAGGAGTTCGAGCTGGTGCTTTCAGACGCCTCCGATAACGCACGCATGGGCGACGTGTCGGTGGCCAAGGTCATTATTGATGGACCCAACGATGCATCGACTGTTTCTCTTGGAAACGCCACGTTTACTTTCAGCGAAGATGCTGGTATGAGCCTTTTTCGTGCATCCACCAGCGTAATGTCTTTATGAATTCATATTTCTTATTGCGTAATTAAATTAAATTTACGTTAAAAAAAATTAAATGTTTCAAACGGCTAATAGCTTCCTATAAAAAACTAGTGCACTGGTAGCTAGCACTTCACAATAATCATTAGCAATGAATGATAGATTAGTAGTTAATTAAACTTTAGTTACACATATTTATTATTAGCATTCTAACTAGTAGTAATCATTTTTTGACTCTATAAATGATCTATAAACAAACATTAATGTTAGTATGATAGATATTTTAAGAGTGTAAGAGTTGGCACTTGAGGTGGCATAAAACCTGTGAACCCACTCACTGCGTAGTTTTAATTTCATCACAAATAATAACAAATAAAAAACCCAACTAGGCTTCAAGGAAACTTAAAGAAGTCCAGACGCTTTTCTTTCCAAGCCCCTTAGACTACGATGACCTGGATGACTGAGAACCTTCACAGACAAACTTTTATCACGTGTGAATGTTGGAGATGATCACTGCTCCACTCTCCAGAAACACTGAGAGGTTATGCAGCCAAAATAGATGCTATTGCCCGAGTTGAAAATTAAGCAAATAAATATAAAGTACAGGTGTAACTAAAAACAGCACAAAGCCAAAGTACATTTAAAACAACACAGTCAAGGTACAGTCTAAATAATACAGACTGACAGAGTGGCATGGCAGCTCAAAGCAGCTCTGAATAATAAGCTCTGCTTTGCTGCTCATTTTAAGCTGGTGGTGTGATTGATGGTGCGGCTTGATTGAAGCAGGGATTGGTGTACCAGAACAATCAAGCACAGCGACAGTCTGGGAGCTGGGAGCTGGAGGAGATGGCAGAAAGCGGAAGTAGAAGCTCCAGTCCTGGACAGGGCCTAAACAGGCTACGAAACACAAGCAGATATAAAATAGAAGAGAGAAGACCACTTTAGGATCATGTTAGGAGTTAGTGGAAGACTGGTGTCACTGGTTTCACTGGTAATCCATCTGCATATCCTGGCAGCAGCTTTAAATGAAGCCTTTGAAACCTTAATCAAACAACAATAACGTCTAAGGTCATCGTTAAGAAATACATAATGTAAAAATGTTATATGCAATGTCATCAGAACATAATTTTTATCATCAGTACGTCATGAATAATTTATAAAATAATTATTTGATACACATTTATTACCATACATTATAATATTAGGTGTTTGTACACATGACAGTATTTACAATGATTTAATATTTTAAAAAATTACATAATTTATAAGTAATGGTTATATTTTCTTTATTACTTTTTATATGAGTTGTTTGAAGTGATGCCTATTCTTATAGCTCTCCATCAGGAATTTAGGGCATTTCCAATAGTTGTTAGAAAGTAGTCTTTGTATGGGAGGTTTCATAATGGATACATTTAATGATATTAGTGTAACCAGTTTACGTGCATCATGTTTTGTGGAAACATTTCTCATCGTCAGTTAGATCACTGCACTCTGTGATATTTTACTTGTTTCATTTATTTAGGAACATTGGACGTGTTTTGGAGCATGACACAGAATAGATTGTTTCCTCTCTTATAATTAGCATCACTGACAGCTACACTGCGCCTCATCTTTCTGCTGAACTTCTTCCACTTCTTTCTTTTTCTCCTTCTTCTCGCTGGCGTAGCTTTGATCTTTGATATAAAGGTATCTTCCCCACAGTGTTGAACAGACAGTATCATTAGTTGCAGCTAAAAGAAGCTGCGAGATTCAGTTTCTGTGTCACTTTGTTCTTAGATCAGATAGAAAGATTACTTTCTATGTAAAGATCAAAACAACTTTGTAAATTAGAGTTATTAATATCTTATAACCCCTCAAACACACAGCAACTTCCCACATTTCACATTTTTTTACCTTGCATTTCACTTTTCCCTCTCTCAGGCACAATTGAAATACCAGTGCTGCGTCATGGCAGCGACCTGTCCTCGCTGACCTCTGTGTGGTGCGCCACCCGACCTTCAGACCCTCCATCAGCCAGCCCCGGGGTCGACTACATTCCCAGCTCCAAGAAAGTGGAATTCAAACCTGGAAAAACTGACGAGGTAAGGACAGAGAACCCAGCACAGATGTCACAGTTATGTTATCGTCCCAAACAAAAACACTTGAGCCAGCTGTGCAATGGGCTATCATATAATTGATAAACAGGATGGAGGACAGTCGGGAATGCTGGGTTAAAAAAGCAGCTTGTAGACTGTGAGCAGATAAAGCAGCTTGAACTGGATACGCTGTATGAAGTTTTGCCTCTGGGATGCGTAGAACGGTGTCAGCACTTGCACATAGCTGGATCTGAATTAATTCTTCAACACTGACATCTTTACATACAGTAGATGAACATTTTTTATAACGTCATCAGCCGAGCTCACCAAGTTTCTACTGCAGCTACCAGGAAGGTGTTTTTATTCCTCGATAAATAACAGATTCACCCGTATAACCCTTGCAAATCATTTGATCTGACCTCCCTTTTTTAAACAGACGTGCAGTTTAACCATCATGGATGACATCCAGAACCCGTCCATCGAGGGGTCTGAGTCCTTCGTGGTGTTCCTCAGTTCTCCTCAGGGTGCTGTCCTCCAAGAGCCCTATGAAGCCAACGTCATCATCGCGGACACGTTCCAGGACAGTACGTCCTCATAGAACAATCGCAGGCTTTAATACACGTGTGTCATGTCAAACACCCTTCATTGACCAGATGTTGCTCGCTCTCTCTCAGTTCCTAACATGCAGTTTGAGAAGAGCTCCTACACCGCGAAGGAGAAGGATAACCTTCTCCACATCCCCATCATCCGGACCGGCGACCTCTCCTTCAAGTCATCGGTGCGCTGTTTCACCCGGACCATGTCCGCCATGGTGATGGACGACTTTGAGGAGAGAAGGAATGCAGATGAGTCGCGCATCACTTTCCTCAAAGGAGAGAAGGTAAAATGTTGAGTCAAAATGTGACCTGATGTTTGTGTCCTTGTTCTCAGACTCTGCTCATCAGGGTGCTTCGATTGTGCATTTTCCAGGTGAAAAACTGCACAGTTCACATCATTGACGACTCAGTGTTCGAGCCTGAGGAGGAGTTTCAGGTGCATCTCGGTACACCGCTCAGTGACCACTGGAGCGGCGCCATGGTGGGAGCCAATGATATTGTCACTGTAACCATCACCAATGATGAAGATGGTAAGCAGGCACTTGATCGCCATGTGATTCACATTAAACAGGATTTACTGATATGCTGTCATAGAATAATGATCGTTTTATATCATAAAAAGAGCTACATATATACATTTTACATCCTTTATCTGATACAAACATGAAAGAAGCTGAGGACTTTTATTTTGAAAAAACATTCCCACTTTTTTTTTTTTTTTTTTTTTTGGGGAACATTGAAATGGTTCCTGAACAAAACTCTCAAAACTAAGTTGTGAATTACTGGGTGATGGGTTTATTTAGATTTAATAACCAATGAAAACGTCGTCACCATTCCTTTTGTTTCCTGTTGACTGCATATTTGAGGTATATCATAGTCTACTTGCACTTTTTGAACTATGCGTCACTAATTTTTTCAAGTGTGTGACCCCTCAGCCTAATTGTTGATGTTAGAATAACTGAAGCCTGGTATGGATAAAATATCCTGAGTATGTTGAACTTGCTCCTGATTTCCAAACTAATTTTAAGATAATGTTCCTCGTTTTTACTTTTGGTCAACTTCTTTTTTTTTT